GTGGTAACCGGTGTTCAGGCATACGTAACACGTGACCCAACCATCTCAGTCGATGAAGATTCATCACCTCATCAACTGATTTACCATCATTCCCTAATACCTAACCTCACTATTATTTACCCGGTTATCCCAGCAGGTGCGAGCAATATTTCTAAGACATTTGTGGTCAAATACTAGTAACCTACGAGTATCTTCTAATCTTAATGGCCATGTTTCGCAGCCGTAAAGTAGAACAGAGAGAACTGCTGCGCAATATACTCATCCCTTAATTGATAGACGGATATCTCGTCTTCGCCATAGGTGACGTAAGTTGGCAAAAGCAGTAATCAATAGACTGGGGATAACTGAAGAACGGTAAACCGTATAGTAATAGTTCATAGGTCAGAAGATGAATATGAATAGTATAATTACTTAACAATTATACAATAGGAAATATACATATCATATTGGTCCATAAATAGTCCTCGAAAGTTACCATTCATAATTCTCCACGGGATATAACAATTTCTATTGTTATTACAATTACCTGCTGTTTATACTCCTGTTCTCTTCAATAATGTGATCTTCTCAATCTTCTACTATCAAGCATTCTACCACTGATTGTTGTTACGTACTACTTATATCTGTCAACATAAGTAGCATGCGCCGCAGTAGTAGTAGTTGTTGTTGCTGTCGTAGACTACGGGCAATTGTTTAAGTAAATCCTATAATCCTAAATTTGTTCCTATCAATATTTGTTCAAAGATAGTTTTATAGTGTTTGCATATTATATCGGCATATGTGGTACACAACGCTGGTAAGGAATAGAATGTCTGACAGAAGAAAGCCGATAAGATCGAGAAGGAAAGAACGAGGACAGAAAGCAATCGGTATGGAAGTGTAGGGACAGTGAAGTCTGAGACAATTGATTCAATTAAGATATTCTGTAATTTTGTCATCAAATACATTCGAGTATCCCCTACTATTATTCTCGTTCATTATAACATCTTCATGTTAGACAGATATGATCTCAATTGAATAATGAGAAAATTCATTGATACGCATAGAGTAGTTATCTGTGGAAGGTACTTTCATCAGTATGATTATATAAGCTATAAGTTGAAAAGTATTATTTCCTGATATAAAGAAAATGGACATTCGGAACATGCAGTGTGACTTCGAACATGAAACTATCAACTTTATAGTGAGTCCCTGGACTTCGGACAAAGTGAATGTAATAGAGATTTCTCTGGCTCGGTTACAGATAGGATGATCATTTTCAGGGTAACACTAATCATATGCATATTAGTCAAGAAGAAAATGTAATTACAATATAACTTTTTTGAAGAGCATTATGAATAAGTACGGTCAACGTGTCGAGTTAATGAATATGAATTTATTTCATATTAAATTTTATACAGAAACACCAAAGACAAAGGCTTTCATTCAGTCTTGTGAACCACATCGATATGCTTCTGTTCTCTGAATGTTGTTAGCGTCTTCTAACCGTAGTTCAGTAAGTAAATGATAACAACATTTCGTATACTTTGTGATTGGTCTTTGAATTTGCCTCCAATAATATCGGACGATGATTTTATCGTCAGGTTCATCAATTTAGTAGCCCTAATCTATATCCACCAACAACGTTTCTGATTGTCATCAAGATATACATGCTGACAACTCTCGTATATAATCATCGACTTAAATCGTGTTAATGAATAACCGAATAAAGTAATTCAAGTACGACAACGAATTTTCAACATTCATTAATCTGAACAGACAATCAAGGAGAGGAAACGAAGTGAATAGAAGCAAGACGAAATGGTAAGAAGTGAAGAGGCGAATGAATCAACTTGTTATGATCAAGCATGATTCTTCTTGAAAGACAATTTTATCTCATGCCAAATATAATGATATTGTATACAAAAGATGTCAAGTTTCACTTTTCTTTATTTCAAATCTGATATGACCCCTTATAATAGTGTAGTGAACAAGAACACGACTGGGGACAATCAACTTCCCGGTCCTAATCAATGGAATTTCGTATTAATTTATAGTTGATGCCCTTTCAAAATGGACAGAAATCAGCCTTGTAATACTGTTCACGACAACTAAAACAATACAGCTCCTCACTGAAATCTCCCAAAATAGTGTAGTGAACAAGAACACAACTGGGGACAATCGAATGTAATTAAGCACAACTTACAGACTATCTCATTAAATTCTGATAACCATGCAATAGTAATTAGTTCATTTTCAAACTATCAATCCATTGTCTCAATCTGAATTGTTCCTTCTGTAAATATCAGTTCATCTTCTCTGATTTCATTATTCATGCATTTTCGTACCGATCGCACTTCATTCCTGTTCGTTACCTATTGCTCTTCTATGTGTGACTATCACCATATACTACTTATGTGGATATAAGTAGACTATCCCAGATATATATATTCTAGACAATAACAACATTGTTTAGTGTATTATCTAAAACATAATTCCAATTCTTTGTCAAGTATGATTGATAGCATTAATACAAAGTTATTCATAACATAAAAGAGAAGAATGTTGATAGACATTTTCTGTTTACTATTGTCTGACATTCATTACTTTAAAAGCAATACAACAAAGATAAAAGGTGACCTTTGTTTTTTGACACCGACAATTTACTATATATAAACGACGGTGTGACCTTATAATTTTCTATTTTTGTTCTTTTTTTCAAAAAATATTTAGTCTTCATTGATTGAAGAGAATAATGTGGAAAAGAATATGAAACCATTTGATTATTTCTATTTAGTTGAGATCAATGAGTCAATTGAAGCTAGACCACCATGGAAAACCTGGAAACACTGGACGGCCGTTTCGTCCTATTATGGGACTCCCCAGCAGTGCGCATCCACGAACCTGCTCTCGCGAACGAGATTCGAACCCAGGACCTACCAGTCTCGAGCCGAAGCCCTTAACCGATAGACCACTGAGCTGGCATCCAACGGTGTTAATGTCTAACTTCAACTGATCCACGAAGTTGAGCAACCATTCACCAATTGTCTTCAGTGAGTTCCTATCTCACAACAGACGTGGTTTTGAACTCCACTGGTCACTGCTTCTCGCTCGCGAGAGCAGGTTCGTGGATGCGCACTGCTGAGGAGTCCCATAATAGGACGAAACGGCCGTCCAGTGTTTCCAGGTTTTCCATGGTGGTCTAGCTTCAATTGACTCACGCTTTCAACAATGATAAATACTAAATCTCCACAAAACCCCTTCTATATATATTAATTATCAGAAGGGGTTTTGCGGAGATTTAGTATTTTTCATAGTAGAAAGCATGAGTCAGTTGAAGCTAGACCACCATGGAAAACCTGTAAGCACTGCTTGACGGCCGTTTCGTCCTATTATGGGACTCCTCAGCAGTGCGCATCCACGAACCCGCTCTCGCGAGCGAGATTCGAACCCAGGACCTACCAGTCTCGAGCCAAACCCTTAACCGAAAGACAACTGAGCTGACATCCAGTATATATTCATTCTTAATCTTAGCTTACATCTAAAGTTTTGAAATGACTTTATATTTCTTACTCAGTAAATTCATTTTCTCTTCTTGAACAATAATGTATAGTTTAAATCTACTACAATCGGTATTGTAACCATATATACTACAAGGGATTTGTTTTAATAATTTTCTCTTGTTATTTTTGATATCTTATGACCGAAATGATTCGAAGTAGATATGTGCTAGATTCTATGGTGGAGAAGATTTGTAGCTCAGGTTGGTGATTTTGAAGCTCCATGACCAAACCACCCAGCTCAGAGAACAAACCTACATCAAAAAGCTAGATTCTATGTTGCATAAGAAAAGTCTCATTATTCATCATGATTAGCTCATCTGCATATTATACTCTTACCATTCTAATTCTCTTATATAATCAATTAAAAAGTATCGCAACATCAATGTAAAAACCGAATCCAAAGCTTCCTAGAAAATTTACTAAATAATTAATCTTCAAGGTTAAAATCACAAACTGATCATGAGGAAAACATGATTAAAAACCTGGAAGCACTGGACAAGTGTTTCTTCCTACGATGAGACTGTTTAACAGTGCACATCCACGAACCGTATTCCATGAATCAAATCAAGTTTCTTTTGTTATATGCATGAATACTTATCCTCTACATCACTGAGGTACAATTCAATGTACTACATAACTAACTTTAATCAACTCCCTATTAGTTAATCATACAATCTTGTCTTGATCAATCAATTCCATATTAATATTGATTGCTTGATATTTGAACATTTCTCTGATTGACCAGAGAAATGTTGTTAGGAAACGGGTGCTAGATAAGGATGGCAAATCGATTGATGTAGTAGTGAAACTTCACCAGTTGAGATAGCTGGGACACGTGTTACGTATGCCCTACCACCGATTATAGTGTACGAGTAGGTTGGAAGAAAGCTAGGGGCGGCCAGACCAAAACGTGGCACATATCCATAAAGTCACTGACAATTGGACTGAGCCATATTGGTAGGTGTAGACTATCTGGTTGGGATCCGCGAGACGATAGCAATCGATGGTTAGAGACCTTGAATGACATGGCTCAAAATCGTTTGCAATGGCGAAGGTGCATCCACTCTCTGTGTTCTACCAAATTCTAATTCTCTGAACTCCTCATGTCCCTATCCTTTTTCTCTTTCCAAATTTATTTCATTGTATTATACTCCTCGAATAACATCTTCAAACCCTAATCTTTCACATAATGCTTATACTCTTACTACTTCTACCACTATGGGATTTGAATCGACAATTGTATCTCTGTGCTAATGTGGTATGGCAACTCGAACTGATGTACGTACGTACGTACGAAGTTCTACGTTGTGAATGACTGACTCTGATTGACCGACAGCTAAAGTCATAAGTTCACGCAAATGTTTTAAAGCTATCAAGTGTCAAAATATTGATTTTATAAATAATATACTTTACAAAATTTAGTATAAAATAAGTCATCTACCAGGACATTATAAATCCTTATACATTTCCATGTTTTTTACAAACTAACAATGCCATACAACGTGGTGATAAAATTGGGTCAAAAATACGTATATAACCAGAATATTGATAAGGATCCTCTTGATTACTGTTTCCATTTATGTTTCTATATTCTCTAACATACCATAAACGATCAAATAGGATAATAGTTTCAAGTAATGGTTGAAATAATTGTTGTAAAGCTAATAGACCTGGTATTAAATTCCATATCTGTTCAAAATAGTTATAATACTCCAAGAAAAATAGATCACTAGTAGTCAATTGATTGGAACATAGAATATCTGTTAGATACTTTTGCCAAAAGATAATGATATGTGAATATACATCGTTGAAATGAATTGACCGATGATTATCACTTGTATCGTTGTCATGATCATTGTTAGCTAACAATTTCATTATGGCATCATATTGTATTACTGGATCAAATCGTTTATATTGTTCCAATTCCGTAGACAAGTTATCATATCTAATTAATATCAAATCTAATATTATACGAGACAATACACGTATACGATGTTTATTAGCATCTAATTCTGTCCAATTTAACCATTTTAAAGGTGAATGTTGACATGCTAAACGTAATGTAGCTGGTGAAATACATTTGTCAATAAAGTTCAAATCACAATTGAACATAGTTTTACGTAAATAATCACTTGTAGGAAACTAAATAAATCGAAAAAAAGACCCCAGTAACAAATGTGAAAACAGTTATGTTTGATATGATAGAATAAACAAAAAAAATGGTTCTATTCTAATATACTTACATATTTTATGTCAAACTTACCCAAATTCCCTCGTACGGCCGAGAGTAGGGAGAGACCGCTCTCCCTCTACAAATGTTCTCACATGACCACGCGAATACAGCGTCTACCATGGAAGTCCTACTCACTGCCTCTTCGTGGTGGGGGTGTTGTTTATGAAAATGAGAGGACCAAAAGAGAATGTTCGACTCTTTAACCGGGCTTGTGGACACGAAACGTTCACCTAGGAGAGTTGGACTCCAGTATCCAGAGGGAACAAATGGCGTATGAATCAATTGTTGGTCACCGGCTACCATGGGACTGCATCTCCACACGATGCTCCACTGCTTTGTGGATCAGACCTTTAGGTCAAAGGCTCCGGGTGTGGCCCCCTAAGAAAACCACCTGTTTCAGTTTGGGCACCTGGGCAGTATCACAGCCCTCACACAAATCGAATGATTTGTGCGGCGCATATATATCTGGTGCCTCTTTGTACCAATATTTATGTGTTTAAATAAATAAAATAAACATTATTATTATTATTATTAGCTTTATTCAATATTATATTATTTGGTACAAAATCGAATTCTCAGCATAAAGTATTTCAACATGTTTACGTTTCTTATTTCTTCGTTGCTCCTGATGAGAAACATTCAGTGATCGCCAGTTGGATGTCAGCAGTTCAGTCAATCGACATATGAATACTGTATATACTTTTTGCTGCATGTTTCAAGCAAACACGACATCTCTGATTAGGCCTTTTGTAACCTTTACAGCTAAAGGTTGTACAGTTTTCAGAAACGCACCGTGCTTAATAGCCATAATGATGTATTAAAACAAACAATATTAGATAACTTGTTGAAATATATAGATGACGGGAAACAGGAAGTTCAGATGTTTAAGCAGGCCGATCAATTTTGTCTGATAATATGATTGAAAAACACACCGAATCAGTACTTTAAATATTTAAGAATACATCCAAATGAATCAGATGCTTCATCCTGATTTTAAAACTCATCTTCATTATAAAACAATGACTCTACTAGATGTTCAAGTCAGGACTGTTAGCTTGCACAAATAGTATATCAGGTTAAGGCAAGCGTATTAAGAATCCAATACGTTTTCAAATCTAGTGAATACAGAATATTTCACGGTAAATATCCATGATCCACGTTTAACTTCACCGGTGTTCCAATGACCATTCTTGAAATGAATCATCAATGCGAAAATGTTTACGAATAGGATAAGAGTTTGTGAATTGATTAAAGTTGGAACTATTAATAGTTTAATAACAACTGAGTTAACTAAAATTAACGATCTTACAATTAGAACTAACGACCCTGAGTTTGATAACTAATATGACTGACTGTAAGTGGACGCCTTTTAGAAGTTCATAACTAGCATGAAATAAACCTTTAATGCTCTTTCTTGTTTTTATTGATTCTCTATTCAAACAGATTAAAACTTACCGTTGGATGCCAGCTCAGTGGTCTATCGATTAAGTGTTCTGCCGCGAGACTGGTAGGTCCTAGGTTCGAATCTCGCGAGTGCGGGATCGTGGATGCGCACTGCAGAGGAGTCTCATAATAGGACGAAACGGCCGTCAAGCAGTGCTTCCAGGTTTTCCATGGTAGTCTAGCTTCAGTTGACTCATGATTTCAACCGTGAAAATACTAAAATATCTACAAAAAACCCTTATGATCTAAAATTAAGCAATCAAACCTAACTTATAAATCTGTTAAATACCAAAATAATATTATTAGAATGGGAGGTTTTGTAAAGATTGTGGTAGTTGTATTAGTTGAATTCATGTGTCGGTCTAAGATAGACTATCATTAAAAACCTGGAAGCACTGTACGGCCATTTTAGTCTTAGTGCGCATCCACAATCCCTCGCAAGACCGAAAGTCCTGGGTTCAAGTTCCGCATGCGGAATCGTGAACGCGCTCTACTGAACAGTCCCATACAAGGACGAAACAGCTGTACAATGCTTTCAGGTTTTTAATGGTAGTCTAACTTAGATCGACTCATGAATTCAACTATACTACTTACTTACTCACGACTGTTACCCCTTGTGGAGGAGCATTCAACTATATTACACACAATAATAATGACTTTATTATTCACCTTTTTCACTGTCATTTTATGATAACAACATCCAACTAATAATAGAATTTGTGCTGAATTATCTTTATGAAATAATTCAATCATAGATTGACTTAAATCTCCACAACAATGTAAACCAAGTAATAAGTAATGAGAACCAGAAGTGAATTCATAAAGTCTGGAGGAAAAAAGAAAGGAAAAGAAAAGAGAATATACCTATTGAAATGATAAATGAAATCTTCTCATAGAATTAGATTTCAAAGGATTTAATTGGATCATATTATGAAGACATATTAATTAGTTGTTAAATAATAGTGACATTCTCGACTGCTGCTGCTACCTTGACATGGTGTTCGGGCTTGCCTATAGTGATAAATCAATCGAATTATACTGGCTGGAATAATCGTTTCTCAAGGTCCTACCATACCAGATAGGTCGGTTGAAGAGTGGTAAGACTAAATGCATCAAACCCAAGGTCTGAAGGGGATGTCGTATTGCTGACTGTACAGAGGTGTGATGACAGTCACTCAATAATTATGATAATTAAATCTCGATTTAAAGGGTTTTAATTTTAAATGTAATCTTGAACAGCTGTAATTTATATGTCTCATTAGTAGTACAGATAGGTTATATGAGAAGTTAGTTTGACTCCAAATCGTCTGTATTTTATTTACTGTTCATTCAATGAATGATATTTTATAACGATAATGATATTTATCAGAAGGGGTTTTGTGGAGATTTTAGTAATTTTATAGAGTTGAGATCGTGAGTCAATTGAAGCTAGACTATCGGTAAAGGGCTCTGGTTCGAAACTGGTAGGTCTTGGGTACGAATCTCGCGAGTGCGAGATCGTGGATGCGCACTGCTGAGGAGTCCCATAACAGAACGAAACGGCCATTCAGTGCTTCCAGGTTTTCCATGGTGATCTAGCTCTAATTGACTAACGATCTCAACTCTGTAAGATAATGATATTTACCAGAAAAGGCAATAATAATGTGAAAGATATTCGTTAAAGGTAAATTAACGTCCCACATACGTGCAAAAAAGTGAAAGGACTGTTATAACAAGTATCCTACAGTTATAACAATGTAAAACAATGAAATATGAGTGAAACTAACTAACCGAATATAAAAGAACTTACATCTGACATTGGTTATAACAGTTGATTATGTGAAGTGTGCTTGATTCTTTATGATCATAGTTGAAATCATGAGTCCATTGAAGCTAGATAACCATGGAAAACCTGGGAACACTGGACGGCGTTTCGTTCTATTATGAGACTCCTCAGCAGTGAGCATCCACGATCCCGCCTCGAGAGATCCGAACTCAGGATCTATCAGTCTCGCGCGCGAGCGTTTAACTACTAGACCACTTAGCCGGCCGTCATCCGACGGTGTTGATGTCTAACTTCAACCAATCCAGTGCTTCCAGGTTTTCCATGGTGGTCTAGCTTCAATTGACTCATGATTTTAACTATTAAAATACTGAAATATCCACAAAACCCATTCTGATCTTTATGATCAGTTGAATAAGTTGAAAAAGACTGAAATATAGAATTTATTGCTCTCAGCACAGAATAACCAATATGAAACACCAGACAATCAATACTAGTATATATACGGTTCTGTATTTCGACATCATTAATGTCACAAACCCCAAATGGTCAGTCTCCATGAATATATATACACATCCTGAATAGATTGCTTCATGATTGTTGACTAGATTCAGAAGCTAGATGGACAACGAAATGCTATTTGAAACAAAAGATACTAAATTCATGTCAAACTATCACTCGAATGGAAGTAAGTCTAGCTGAAAGGTAACAAAAAAAATAAAACGCGAGTCCGAAGTCCTCTGTTAGCGACTATTCAACTTAACAATACATTCTTTTGTATCACGATTTAAATTAAAACGCTATTCGTCTAAGGATTATTTTAACGTTTATTATTATTTAACGCCTGTTACTCCCAATGGAGCATAGGCCGCCGACCAGCATTCTTTAATCCACTCCGTCTTGGGCCTTCTTTTTTAGTTCTATCCAACTTTCGTTCATTCTTCTCATGTATGTCTTCATTTCTTGGCGTAATGTCTTCTATGATCTTCCTCTTCTCCTTTGACCTTCAGGATTCCATGTGAGGGCTTGAATTGTGATGCAGTTGGGTGATTTCCTCAAAGTGTGCCCAATCCACTTCCAGCGCTTCTTCCTGACTTCTTCCTTCACTTGAATCTGGTTTGTTTTCTCCCACAGTAACTTGTTGCTGATAGTGTCCGAAGTATTTTGTGTAGACAACACACTTGTATCTTCTGGATGACGGCTTTCATAGTTCTCCACGTCTCCATCCCATACATTAGAACTGTCTTGACATTTGTATTGAAAATTCTGATCTTGGTGTTGGTTGCCAGACAGTTGTTTTGAGTTCCAGATGTTCTTCAGTTGTAAATATGCTGCTCTTGATTTGCCGATCCTCGCATCCTCTTAACATACTACTAAATTGATTTTAAGTAGTTTAACAAGAGGTAAACTAATTTACAAAAATCAACTAACCTTGTTTGTAATAAATCTAAATTTGTTGATTCAACACGAAATAGTAGACGTTTCACAATTGAATTTAAAGATTTCACTTGAAATAGTGAATTGTATTGGCTTAAATTTTTTAAAGCTTTGACATGTAAGTCTTCATTACATTCAACTGAAATAATTTGAGGTTCAGTAAAGAAATCCCCATAGTTTAATATTAATTGATAACCAATATAATTAGATAAATAGCCTAATCCAGAACCAATATCAATAATTTTAAGTGGGATGTTTGAATTTCGATCTAGAAAATAATAGATTAAAGAGATGAAAGTATAAATCATAGTTTGGTGTGGGTTACTTATATCCACATAAGTAGTATATTACGATGGTCGGACATTAAATTTATCGATAACAAAAGAATGGGAACGAAATGCAATTGGTATGAAAATGCATCAACAATAATAATAGGAGTGTAGGGTCAGTGAAATATCACTGAACCCTATCCAAATCATAAGGCAGTTGGGTCGCTCAATATCGAAAAGAGCATCGATCCCGTCAAGGTCAAGGACTGTCAATCATACGCCATAGACTGGCCCATGCGGCAGTGATTCTACTTCGCTTGTATCTATTTCAACTAATATATTTCTGTAATAACATCCCTTGTGTTATACAGTCTTCAGAGCATCCATGGTCCCTTGATACGTCGATGGGTGCTGGTCGCGAGGTGTGACTTCAAAGTTAGCTTGTTCGTTACACCGTTCCCGTCTTACTCGAGTAGGCCTCAAATCATTCGACATAGACCATCAACGTTGATGGTCTACAGAAGACTATGAATTGAGATTTGAAGAAGGAATGATCAAGATTGAGACAATAAGCATTATAAGCAAAGACGGACAGTGGTTAGCAGTGGAATCTAGGACGCACGATTCGTCCTATTCGGGACTTGTCAGCTGTATGTGCCTACATCTCAGAGTTGATGTTCAATTTGAGACTCGAACCCAGTACCTTTCGCTTCAAACGCCACCGTGTTATCCACTCAACTACTGAGTCCTGATATCCACTTGCCTGTGCAATGGGGTGAAGTTTAAATTTACTAACTCTCCCTACTCTCGGCCGTACCAGAACATTTGGGAGCACTGACTTGATAGTTGGTGTTTGTACTATGTAACCATGATTCAAATAATGCTAGTAAGAATATGAAGACAGTAAATATGAATTTATTTGATCCACAAAATGAATGAAAATGATACATGAATACTAAACGAATTTCAATAAGATTTTTTATCCGATCTGATTAATTGTTAAACTTATATAAAATTTATAGAATAATAGATATCATCAATTCATCAGTGCTCCTAAATGCCCTAGTACGGCCGAAACTAAGGATAGTCCGATCTCCTTCTCCAAATACTCTCACATGGCCACGCGTATATAGTCTCTGCCAAGAAAGTCTTACTCACTGCCTTCTCGCACCACAGGTGTTGTTTACGAAATTGAGAGGATGAAAAGCGAATGTCCAGCTCAACCGAGTTGGTGGACATGGAAAGTCCACCTACGGGAGCTGGAAAACCCTCATTCCAATCCAATGGTTCACATGGGCTCCAGTGTCCTGAAGGAACAAATGGCGTACGAACCAACTGTTGGTCACCGGCTACCATGGGACTGCATCTCCTCACGATGCTTCACTTCCTTGTGGATCAGATCTTTAAGTCAAAGGCTCTGGGTGTGGCTCAGTAAGAAAACCATCCGCTTCAGTTTGGGAACCTTGGCAGTATCCCATTCCTCCCACAAATCAAATGAGATCTGTGTGGCGCATATCTATTTGGTGCCTTCTTGTACCAATATTTATGTGTTCATAATTTCATTCATTTGTTTGTGTGTGGGCTGTGATACTGCCCGGGTGCCCAAACCGAAGCAGGTGGTTTTCTTAGGGGACCACACCCCGAGCCTTTGACCTAAAGGTCTGATCCACAAGGCAGTGGAGCATCGTGAGGAGATGCAGTCCCATGGTTGCCGTTGACCAACAGCAGGTTCTTCCGCCATTCGTTCCATCAGGATACTGGAGCCCATGTGCACCATTGGTTTGGAATCAGGGTTTTCCAACTCCCCTAGGTGGACCCTCCGTGTCCACCAATCCGGTTATAGCGCCGGACATTCGCTTTTCGTCCTCTCACTTTCGTAAACAACACCCCCGCCACGAGAAGGCAGTGAGTAGGACTTCCCTGGCAGAGGCTATATATTCGCTGGCCATGTGAGAGCATTTCGAGAGGGAAAGTAGACTCTCCCCACTATCGGCCGTACCAGGGCATTTGGGGGCAAATAGGACGAAACGCTCATCCTGTACTCCACTGCTAGCCACTAACCATCTTTGCTCATAAATACTAACACAGCTTCACAAACAGATAATCATTTTTGACTATTTGAAGAATAGTGCGCATCCACGAACCCGCTCTCGCTAGCGAGATTCGAACCCAGGACCTACCAGTCTCGAGCCGAAGCCCTTAACCGATAGACCACTGAGCTCTGATGGATGTAAGTAATGGCGGTGTGGATATGTTGCCTGGAGAACGACTTCTCGACCTTGAGTATGCGGATGATATTGTCTTACTGTGCGATAATGCTCAAGCCATGCAATCCGCACTTAATCAGTTGGCAATCAGTGTCCGCAGGTACGGCATGTGCTTTGCACCCTCCAAGTGCAAAGTACTTCTACAAGACTGGCAGGATTCTAATCCTGTACTCACCTTGGATGGTGAGCAGATCGAAGTAGTTGAGAAGTTCGTGTATCTAGGTAGCTATATAAGTGCTGGTAGTGGCGTGAGTGATGAGATTGATGCACGTATAATGAAAGCCAGAGCGGCTTATGCCAATCTGGGCCATCTTTGGCACCTTCGTGATGTTAGTCTGGCTGTAAAACGTCGGATCTACAACGCGTCGGTGAGAGCAGTTTTGCTCTATGCTTGTGAAACCTGGCCTCTCCGAGTTGAGGATGTTAGACGTCTCTCTGTGTTCGATCATCGTTGTCTCCGAAGGATTGCTGACATCCAGTGGCAACACCATGTTAGTAATGCAGAGGTTCGGCATCGTGTGTTCGGGCGCAGAGACGATAATTCAATTGGTGTCACCATCTTGAAACACCGACTTCGGTGGCTTGGACATGTTTTCCGAATGTCGTCCCAGAGACTTCCGCGTCGTGCATTATTTGCCGACCCTGGGACTGGTTGGAGAAAGCGGAGAGGAGGTCAGTGTATGACATGGTGTCGTGGCATGAAAGAAAGCTGCAAAGGGCTAGCTTCCGTTGGTCCTTCACGACTCCCTGGTTGGGGTCCTAGAGATAGTGCAACACAGTGGCTAGAGACGTTATCGGATATGGCTCAGAATAGAAGCCAGTGGCGATCCTGCTGCAACCTTCTTTTACTTTCTACATAAAGTATGGTTCTAACTTTCCTAACTGAAAGAATCTTCTTGTTGTACATTTCAGCCCGCCTTATCTTTTCATCCTTTATCTACCTACTTTCATTATTTTGTGTGGCGCATATGTACCTGGTGCCCTTTTGTACCAATATATATGTGTTTAAATAAATAAATAATAAATAGTTTATGTGTTCAAATAAATTAATTCGTTCTAGGCAACAACATAAATGTTATTATCTTTATTATTTTGTTTAAATATAAAAAAGGTCACTAACCTTGTATTATTTCATTACTGATTAATGGAATAGTTTGAAAATGATCCCCAATATGTTCACTGTTCAATAGAAATTCATTATAGGGAAATATTTCTTGTGAAGAATTGACAAATTCATTATCATTAGTAGTAGTAGTAGTAGTAGTAGTATTAGTAGGAGGAGGAGGAGGAGGAGGAGGATTAGTAGCAGTAGTAGTAGGAGTTCTATTATTATTAGTAGTAGGAGGAGTAGGAGTCGTATTATTATTGTTACTATTATTATTAGTAGTAGCAGTAGTAGTGCGAGTAGAAGTTGTAGTGGTAGTTGTATTAGTGGCAGTAGGAGTAGTATTAGTAGTAGTAGTAGGAGGAGGAGGAGTAGTAGTCGCATTAGTAGCAGTAGTAGTAGTAGTAGTAGTAGTAGTAGTAGTCGTATTATTATTATCATTAGTAGTATTAGTAGTCGTGTTAGCAGTAGGAGGAGGGGGAGGAGGAGTGGTCGTATTAGTAGTAGTCGTATTATTATTATTAGTAGTAGTAGTAATAGTAAGAGAAAGAGGAGGGGGAGTAGTAGTAGTCGTATTATCATTAGTAGTAGTATTAGTAGTAGTATCCATAAATGATAATAAAATTGTTTGTATCAATGTTGATATTTGTTTAAGTTCATAAGATTTCTTATTAGACATTTTTAAAAGATAATTTTTTTGTAATTTATTAATTTGATTACATAATCTCATATCTGTACACATACTAGATGAATTAAAATAGCAACCAACAAATTTTTTATTTGAATGGATACTAATATATTGCGATAATAATCTTGTGAATTGATGACATTTCATGGATAGATTTAATAGATCATAAGGCCAATGGGATAAATTTGAAGGATCTAAAACAAACATCTAAATAATAAAGATGATAAAAAAAATCGAACTATAGGATCATGAATCAATTGAAGATAGATCACCATGAAAAACCTGGAAGCACACTAGACGGCCGTTTCGTTCTATTGTGGGACTCCTCAACAGTGCGCATCCACGATCCCGCCTCACGAGATTAGAACCCGAGACCTATCAGTCTCGCGCACCAGCGCTTGATCACTAGACCACTGAGCCGGCCGGCATCCGACGGTGTTAATGTCTAACTTTAACCGATCCAGGAAATTGAGCGACACATCCACCATTGTCTTCAGTGAGTTACTATCTCACAACAGACCTGGTTGTATTTCACTGGTCACCGCTTCTCACTAGAACTACTGGAAATACCTCTTGAGGCCAGTCACTAGTGAGCATATGTTAATTATAATCAGACAGTGTTTTTCTTATATTATAGTAATTTTAATAGTTGAGATCATGAATCGATTGAGGCTAGATCACCATGGAAAACCTGGAAGCACTGGTCGGCCTTTTTTGTACTATTGGGGGACTCCTCAGAAGTGCGCATTCACGATCTCGCCTCGCAAGTTTCGAACCCATATATTTTAAATAAGAATAATATACTTTTCATTGAATAGAGAATGAAAAAAAAACTTGATAATTAATTCATTGTTGTTATGGTTGTTTGAATCTTCTTATAAATGTTTAGGATCCAGTTCATCTAGTTGATGAGTTCCATAAATAAGATGAAACGTGCGTCAAAAATTCCACTGTTAGCCATCCTTCTGTTGTTATATCCTAATGAAGACATAAGTACAGGTAACTCTTGGGACCTATTAATGGACGATTATTCTACATATACATTCTCATTGTTTAACTATTGAGTAATTAGATTGTGTATATATATATTCCCCTTATAAGCTTCATTTTGATCTATTGATTATTATTATTCCCTAGCAGAGGCTATATACGCGTGTCCATGTGAGAGCGATTCGGGAGAGATAGAGGACTCTCCCCACTGTCGGCCGTACCAGGGCATTTGGGCAGCATATCAAAACTTGGTAAATCAATCAGACTAATAGCCACATACACACACATACACACACAAAGCAACAGGAATGATAGTATTCGATCAGTGATAAAGGTTAGACACTGATCAACCAGTGTGAATAATTGAAGAAGAAGAAGAAGAAAGACGAAGCTTACTTGTAATTCTTGAAGATTTGCATTCTTTAATACATTTTTCCAAGATGTTGGTATATTTTCAATAACAGATGATATATGAATATTAGAAGAATCTTTTTTAATCTTACATAAATCACCAATCCATTGAAAATTATATATCCAATTATATTCTAAGATGAATATAAGAAGATCATGAATGAGTTCATTTAAACTATTGGATGACATGTTGTCTATATATATATATATCACTACAAAACAAACGAAAGTAGATAAATAGAAGGCAAGAATAAAATTTAATCTTAATAGTTGAGATCATGAATCAATTGAAGCTAGATAACCACGGAAAACCTGAAAGCATTGTAAGGACGTTTCGTCCTATTGTGGGACTCCTTAACAGTGAGCGTCCACGATCCCACCTCGTGAGATTCGAAACCAGGACCTATCAACTATTAAAATTACTATAATATACACAAAAAAACCCTTCTGATATTATTCAACATATGATCACTAGTGACTGGCTCCATGAGGTATTTTCTGGTGTTCTAGTGAGAAGCAGTGACCAGTGAAATTCAACCGGGTCTGTTGTGATATAGTAACTTAATGAACACAATGGTGGATGTGTCGCTAAATTTCATGGATTAAATGGAGTTAGACATTAACACCGTTGAATGCCAGCTCAGTCGTCTAGAGGTTAAGCGCTGGCGCGCGAGACTGATAGGTGCTGTGTTCGAATCTCGCGAGGCAAAATCGTGGATGTGCATTGCTGACGAGTCCCACAATAGAACGAAACGGCCGTCGGGTGCCTTCAGGTTTTCCATGGTTGTCTAGCTTCAATTGACTCATGATCTCAACTATTAAAATTACAATAATATCCACACAAAAACCCTTCTAATATTAAAATTTAATGTTGGGGAATTTATGGAAACCGTAGACTTTTCATGATATTTATCAAAAATTCATCTTCACTACTAAAAACATGGAAGTACTGAACAGCTCTTTCGAACTGGTATGTAATGTTTCAGCAGTGCGCGTGAACGACTTCGCAACGGGAAGTCAAGGTTACAAACAACTGGATGTTTATCTTAATTTCAATAAACTTGCATTGTTTTAAATCAGTAAATTAAAATGTAATAACAAACATTCAATCAAGACTGGTATTCATGTTTGAATACATTCATTTAAGATGAAATGTATGTGTGAAATACGATGTTATCGTCAAATATAGACAACGTTTATGCATACTAAGCAAAGATGGGTAGTAACTAGCAGTGGAATCCAGTTTGACGCGCGTTTCGTCCTATTTGGAACTCGTCAGCTAGATGTACCTGCATCTTAGAGTTTATGATCACTCTGTGACTCGAACCCAATACCTTTCGCTTCAAACGCCATTGCGTTATCCACTAAGCTACTGAATCCTGATAACCACTTGCTTGTGCAATGCGGTGAAGTTTAAATTCACTTAGTATTGTTCGTTTGGATCTTCCCATTGTTGTTTAGGACTGCAACTGGTCAATCTTTTACTGGCCATATGTGCATACTGTGCGTATTGCCTCGATATAGCCTCAATTCACAAGCATTATAAGCAGTTGCAATCCTAAACAACAATGAGAAGATTCAAACAAACAATACACCTAACCAGTAATCGCTTTCTCTTTCCAAAAGATTCACTAAGTAATGAATTGTAAAATAGTTATTACATGTAAAACTGTATCATTGTTTATTAACAATAGCCTTTACAAACACTTAGGTCGCGTACGTTCTTGATATACTGCGTACAACTTGAGTACTCGAACGCTAGAACCTTCCACGTCACAAATGAGAAGACAAAAAACGAGCGAGAAGGAATGCTGTGTCAAATATGGTACAAAACTCTCAGGTATTTATAGTTTTTAGTAAAAGTGAAATCATCATTATAATCATCCAATCCGTATACAGTGGTTTTTAGCATTTGCCCAATAGGGAAGCTACACGTCGAGATTCTGAAGTGTTCTTCCAAAAGATGAATGGATGGAATGTCTCTGGCTCTTTCTGAACATCATTCTAAACATTAATGATTTCATTTTACATTAAAAACAATCCTCAATTCACATTCCATAATTTTAAACGATGTACTTTGCCTTAAACCTGACCAATTTTCGGATTGCTCCAAAACGCCCTGATACGGCCAAGGGTGTGAAGAGTCATCTCTCACTCTCAAAATGGCCTTACATAGCCAAGCGTATACAACTACTGTCAGGGAAGTCCTACTCACTGCCTTATCACGGAAAAGATGATGCCTAACGAAATTGAGGGGACGAAAAGCGAATATCCAGAGCTTTAACTGGGTTGGTGGATATGGAGATTCCATCGATAGTGCAAATAGGTTCAAGAATCCTGAAGGAACAAATGGCACATGAACCTATCGTTGGTCACCGGTTAACATGAAACTGCATCTCCTTACGTTGCTCCACTGCCTTGTAAGTTAGATGTCTAGGTCAAAGGCTCGGGGAAAGGTCCCCTTAGAAAACCACCTGCTTCGGTTCGGGCACCTTGGCAGTATCACAGCCCTCACACAAATCAATGATAACTACTACTGGATGCTTTGTTATTATGAGGCGCATATGTATTTGATGCCCTCACGTAAAAATGTCTTTGTGATCAAATAAATAAATTTTTGGACTATTAATTTGGATCAATAATTGTAGAACCTAAAGAGATATTATTGAAAAGAATATTCTTCTACTGTACATCTGTGTTTTAATATTGAGTTAACGTATGAAAATATGAAAGGTGATTCAACAAGGAATTCCAAAGCAAACAATAAGGGGAGAGCAAGTTTGGTATATATTTATCCTGTGGGAAATTCCATTCTCGTAATTCGTGTGCAGTTCGTAATGCTAAATGTTTTAAATGTGGCAAGATAGGACACATTCAGTCAGTATGCGAAACTACTGTTCACTGTGCTTAAAGTCTTGTAATTTAGATCCTATTATTTCGGCTATTCCTAATGATCATTTATCTTTATCCACCGTTTCGAAGGACAATGTTCATATTCAATAGCGATTATATACATCCCTTGATTCATTTCATGACTTTATTATGGACACAGGCAGTATAGAGTCCATTGTTTCATCCAAGAACTTGAAATCTTCAGATCCCAAAGTTGTGGTCAGACCTACAGAAATCTCAAAATTGGGGATTACCGGACACAGACTGCACATAAGAGAATGCTGTAAATTGCTAATAAGAGATGATAATTCTTCATACATACCTTGTGAATTTTTAGGTAGCGAGACAGTACTGTCAACACTGGGCTTGAAAATTTTTAAAAGGCTTAAAATGGAGTTGTCTTCACTAGTTTCTAAAGACAGTTCTGATGCTTTACTTAGAGATTTGATAGCCGCATGTGCGAAGTGTGGTAGAGGTATGAAAATTTAGTCTATTAAACTTCAAGTACAGGTTGATCCAGTCTTCGAGAAACAGTACATAAGACACTGAACGATTTCTGTGCGAAAGATATGATTGAACCGATTCAATCTTCAACATGGGATACTCCTATTGTTACACCATTGAATTAGGATGGTACGACCCCTAAAATATGTGGTGACTATAGACTAGCACTGAACTTCCGTTTGTTGAAGCAGATATGAGTGACGATGGAGACTGAAGATATTTTAAGTCGACCTCATGGTTCTAGAGTGTTCTCAAGAGCTGACCTAAAAGATGCTCATCTTCAAATCCCTTTAGATCAACGTTCATCTATTTTGATAACAATTAAAACACCTTTTGGTCTGTTCAAATACAACTTCCTTCCATTTGGTCTAAGTTGTTTTCCAACCATATTTCAGGAAGTTATGAATAAGATAGTCAGTGATCTTGAAGGTATTGAAGTTTATCAAGATGATCTCATTGTTCATGGTATTGATAAGGTAGTTCATGACCAGAGACTTATTGCTTTATTTCGTCGTTTAATTGAGAAGAATATTGCTGTGATACCAAAATGAGTGTTCATTTTGTGTATCTAGTTTTGAATGTCTTGGATACCTAGTTGAAGGTTATGATTTTAGACCAGATATGAAGCTACTAGCTTCACTCATAAACGCACCATCTTCGAGAAATCTTACAGACCTACGTTAACTAGTGGGTACTCTTCAATACTATTCCCATTTTAATCCTAATTTTTCTTGTCATACTGATTGTTTATCTTAATTGTTTATTAAAAATTATTCTGTTTACATAATACAAATATGGGTCAACTTACACAAACTGGTACCTATTCGCCACTGAAAATCGGTGCACCACACAAAAGCTTTACAATCAATATTATCCAAGTCAAAGGACACAACGACAAAAGAAGACAAACAAAGTACCATTCCCAGGATAAACTGAAGTAAACTGTGGTAAGTAATACAGTGCCGCTATATCCGTTTACGTTAAGGTTAGGTAGATGCTAAGCGTCATAACATCCTACTACTGTTATCAATGGATGTGGATAATTACATACGAATCCCACTAGGAAAATATCGAAACACTGAGCAAAAGAAATATGAAGAAAAACAAAGAGAGTTTAGAAAATTGACACGATTTAAGCACTATCAATAGATAAACGAACACTAACCAAATCTATCAGCTAATAAGAAAAAAAAAGATAAACTCTAAGGTAGAGATCACGTCAGGAGAGAAGACAATCAAAATAAACTCAAACAACGGCCGCACAACTGTAGATAATCGTTTGTCGATTTCAGTTCGACTGAACAAGCTGTCAGTCAAATACGAATAAACCCTAACAGTATGATTCCTTTTGAGGAATTCACTTATGATATTACTAAGGAAAACAACTAAACTAACCAGTTTAGAGAACATAGCACTATATCTGAGACGTGAACTTATAGAAGCACATAAAAATGCTTTCAACGACAACTAGGTACTCTGAGATGTAGCCAATGTTTATGAAACCTTATAACAAATATATAGTTACCAATGAAGTGATAGCAGCTGACTATTCTGTACAAGTAAGCGAAGTACTATGTAAAGACATCATGCTCGTGAACTTTTAGAATGCGCACCATGTTCAACCAAACAGTGGCTTAGAATAATTATAAAACAAATCTATAAAAAGTAATGTATATATATTAGATAAAAAGTGTACATGAATTGGATAGTTTTACATAAAAAAAGAAACAAGGACAGCAGAGTGTTTATCACAGAAACTTCCTGTTGTTTATATCACAAAATCTAGTCGTAACGGCATTTATCAGAAGAGACTTGAGAATAAGATCTATAGCTTGAAGCACTTGAAATTCGATGTCGCGATAAACAAGAGATTAACTTGAAGATCATCCATCCTGTGAAAGTTCCCAAAATAGCTCCTATGATGCATGGAATAGGCCATGCTTGCCAAGGTCTGTCCCAGTCTAAAACTAAGAAACCAGCTGATAACCAAGCACCAATAACACAACCATAACCAATGAAGGCAACAAACTTTTCTTCTGGTAGCCTAAAAATAACAAATAAATTTCAAAATATAGTTCTTACAATAAGAAAATAACTGATTGATCAAAAAGACATTTCCAAGCTAAGATATAGACGTTTGTCCTGGTAGTAGTCGAATCTAGTATAAGCTTTCTTCAGTTAATGTTTCTACATCCTACATAAGTGTAGTAAACATTAATTAAACGAGAAATGGAGAAATGATAATATTATTAACATAAAAAGTCAAGCAACAAATATATAATTTAAAAACAAACGAATAAACCACAAGAATGAAGAAACTAGGATCAAACTTCTGTAGAAAAAAAAACATAAATGCAGCTCGACCATTGAGAACGATTTCAAGACATCAGAAAGTCTCCGACCACATAATTAAGGATGTTGTTCATGCTTTAAAACAGATGATCTGCATTCACCAAACTGGCTTAGACCAATAGTAAATAACTGCATTTACTATTGGTTCCATTTCTTGATCCCGCTGCTACTACCTTTTTCTCAACTAACACTGAGCGTCGAGATAGGTCGCGTACAGTAGTAACAAGTTTAAAACAATTGAATTAATCAAGATCTACAGTCCTATAAACTGATTCAGCATTTCCATCTGTGGTTGAAAATATTGAGTGACATAGACCAAATTAAGCCACAAATTTTTTGCTATGTTCGTTTCTGAAGCATATGAGTGAATGGGAATTTCCTCCCATTATAATTTCAACCAAATGTTTTCCCCCGACCGTTGCTGCTACTTTGACGTGGTGGTCGGGCTTGCCTATCGTGATGAACCAATGGAGCTATGCTGACTGAAACAATCGTTCCTCAAGGTCCTACCATGCCAGACAGGTCGGTTGAAGAGCGGTGAGACTAAAAGCAGCAATCCCGAGGTCGTACTACTGACTGTACAGAGGTGTGACAGCAGTAAGGTGTTTCCTTCAGACAACCAGCATGACAGCGATGCTGCCTAACCACAAGGAGGGGTGGGGTTAGAAAAGGTCGACCCTAAAAATGCACACCCCGCCATATCCCACGGATTTCCGTCTCCGGCGGTAAGGACCTTTGAAGAACGGAGCTAACACGTCAAAAATCCCACACAAAAAAGTCGTGCGTGACCGGCCTCAAGCAATTGTCCCTTGGGCACTGCGGTCACGCTCCCAGGTTGTTCAGACCAACACTAATCCAACTTCTTTTTCAGGTCCCTCAAGAAATACCCTTCCACGGAGTGGGCAGCCGGGAAGTGATACTAGCCCTCATACCCATAACTGCACACGAGACCACGTCGGTCACTTTCAAATCCTTCCTACATCTAATAACACTTATCTCCACGACTAACCCTTCCCACGTCCTTTTATCACCTCGCACCGCTAGGGCAAACGATTCGAGTACACGGAACGTTATTCCTGGTCTCCTGAAACCACGCTCTAAACTACATATAGGAACTTTTAATGTCCGAACATTATGCCAAATAGGACAACAGGCTTCCTTAGCTAGGACTCTAGAATCTTACACCATCGATGTATGCTGCGTCTCCGAAACGCGCATACAAGATCCGAGTAGAGTCATTCATTTGACCGCACCTAATCAAAATAAAGTTTCATCTCGATACACGCTTCGTGTATCTGGAAGCCCTGATGCTGCTTCCCGTGCCCTCGCTGGAGTAGGTATAGCATTAATTCCTAGAGCAGAACTAGCTTTTTTAGACTGGATCCCAGTAGACAGTCGTCTATGCGCTGTCCGACTAAACGGATCATTAACGACTCGGAAAGATAGGGAAACTTGTCGTTGCCTCTTCGTCGTCTCTGCCTACTCTCCCAATGACTGCAGCTCAGACGATATAAAAGATGAGTTCTACAGGAAACTTTCTGACCTTCTCCGAAAAGCTAGGTGTTCTGATGTAGTAATAGTAGCAGGTGACTTTAATGCTCAAGTAGGTAAACTAAGTGAAAGGGAAAGACACCTGGGTGGATCTTATGGTGTCATGGCGAAAAGAACAGATAATGGCGACCGTCTGTTGCAGCTATGCTCAGATAACCGCCTATTTCTTGCAAATACTAACTTTAAGCATAAGGAAAAACATCTTTTGACATGGCGACCCCCGAATTCGTCCCAACGTTGGACCCAATTAGATCACATCGCTATCAGCCACCGATGGAGGGGCTCGATAGAAGACTGTCGCTCGTTCTGGGGCACATGTTTAGATTCAGATCATGCTCTAGTGCGAGCACGTATCTGTCTGCGTCTTACCGGACGTAGAAAAGACACTCCAGGGAAGCCTCTAAGGGTTCTACTCAATGATAGGCGAACTAAGAATATATTTCAGGAACAACTAGGAAAACAGTTAGGCAGACATGTAAGTTGTGTCCACCTCGAGGCAGCGTGGAATGACATCCGAAAAGCTGTGGAAACAGCAGTGATATCCGCTAGTAAGGTAAACCATAAGGTTAGGGAGAAACAATGGATCTCGGCAGCATCTACCGCACTGATAGATGCTCGAAAACTCATTCCACCTGGCTCTGAACATAACGAAGAGCGGAGTCAGCTTAAGCGCAGGCTAATAAGAAGCCTACGTAATGATCGTGAACAGTGGTGGGTAGCGAAAGCAAGAGAGATGGAAAAGGCAGCGGCAATAGGTAACAGTAGGCAGCTATTCAGACTCCTTAAAGAAACCGGTATTAGGAACCCAAGTATCAGTGAAACCATCTCAGATAAAGATGGGCATATTATTCATTCTCCATCCAGGGGATTGGATCGAACACTTTAGGGATCAGTTCAATTGGCCTTCAGTCACACATCAATTACCCACGATCCCCAGTCGTCCTGAATGGCAAATTGATGTAAATCCTCCAATCCTCTGCGAGGTCAAAAAGGCTATAGAAAACCTGAAGCGAGGGAGAGCAGCAGGCCCCGACAGGTTGACTCCTGAGATTTTTAAGGATGGTGGTCCAGTACTAGCAGTGAGATTGACTGAGGTCTTAGGTAGAATCTGGGAACTGGAGGTAATTCCATCTGACTGGTCCCAATCACTGATTGTGCCAGTCTATAAGAAAGGACAAAAGTCCTTCTGTGACAATCACAGAGGGATCAGTTTGACTAATATAGTGTCGAAAATATTAGCTTCAATAATACTTCGACGCCTAACCAAAGCTCATGATGAGCAGACTAGGGAAAACCAGGCTGGTTTTCGACCTGGACGTGGTTGCATAGACTGGATATTCACCCTACGTCAGGTCCTAGAACATAGACACAAACTCAGACGTCCCACAATAGTAGTATTTCTTGACCTTAAGGCGGCATTTGACTCCGTGGATCGTGAGGTTCTATGGTAGTGTTTGTCACTAAAAGGAGTACCAAAGAAGTACATTAACCTCATAAAGGCTCTCTACTCGAACACAACTGGTCGAGTTAGAGCCTATGGCAAACTGTCATCAGAACTGAACACCTCAAGTGGTGTTCGTCAGGGCTGTCCACTGTCCCCATTCTTGTTTAACTTTGTCATTGACATACTTTTAGAGATAGCACTTTCATCATCTCAATCTCCAGGAGTTGAACTATTACAAGGAGGCTCACTTGTTGACTTAGAATACACCGACGACATAGTTTTACTTGGTGAGGACGCTGGCAACATGCAGAGTCTTCTGATTACTATAAGCAACTATGCAGGCATGTTCGGAATGCGATTCTCTTCCTCGAAGTGCAAAATGTTACTTCAGGATTGGGTTGCATCGACACCCAAACTAATGATAGGGAGTGAAGTAGTTGAGCGTGTAGACCACTTCACTTATCTTGGGAGTCTCATCAGCCCTTGTGGTCTGGTATGTGACGAAATCTCAGCACGGATACAGAAGGCTCGTCTAGCTTTCGCCAACTTGCGTCATTTATGGCGTAGGCGAGATATCCGTCTAGCAACCAAAGGACGGGTTTACTGTGCAGCAGTTCTATCCGTCCTACTTTATGGCAGTGAAACATGGCCGATAAGAGTAGAGGATATTCGTAGGCTACTAGTATTTGATCACAGGTGTCTTCGAAACATTGCTCGTATATCCTGGGACCACTGAGTAAGTAATGCAGTTGTTAGGAAACGGGTACTTTGTAAGGATGGCAAATCGATTGATGAAATGGTGAAACTTCATCAGTTGAGATGGCTGGGACACGTGTTACGTATACCCAACCAACGACTGCCCCAACGTGCAATGTTTCATGATGTAGGAGTAGGTTGGAAGAAAGTTAGGGGTGGCCAGACCAAAACATGGCATAAATCCATGAAGTCACTGACAAGGGGACTGAGCCATGTTGGTAGGTGTAGACTACCTGGTTGGGATTCGCGAGATGATAGCAATCGATGGTTAGAGACCTTGAATGATATGGCTCAAATCGTTTGCAATGGCGAAGGCGCATCCACTCTTTGTGTTCTACCAACTTCTAATCTTCTGAATTCTTCATGTCTCTATCATTTTCTCTTTCCAAATTTATTTCACTGTACTATACTCCTTCAATAACATCTTCAAACCCTAATCTTTTGTATTTCTGATTATACTCTTACTACTTCTACCACTATGGAATTTGAATCGACAACTTCGTCTCTGTGCTAATGTGGTATGGCAACTCGAACTGATGTACATACGTACGAAGTTCTACGTTATGACTGACTGACTGACATGTTTTCTACTACTACTCTGCTATTCCTCTTGTTAATTTCATCTTCTCAAGCCAACGTAGTATGAAAACTTGAACCGATGGATTTATGCAAGGTTCTAACTTACTTAGTCATATGCAGCGTAGAACTTAGCACATATGTACATCGATTCAAGTTGACAAACCCTACTAGCACAGTAAGATGTCAAAACAAATCTCATAGTACAGGTAACAATAGTAATAGAAAACATAAGGCATCCAATATACAATTCGAGAAAACAAATTAGTGGAATAATAAGATAAATTTATGGGGAATTCGGAAACTTGGGATCTAAGGGGAGATAAAGAGTAAATGCACTTGCACCATAGAGAACAATTTTGAGCCATGTTACTTAATTTCTCTATTCAATGGTAACGATAATCACACGGATCCTAATTAAAGAGTCTGAGCCTACCTAGCTATGTGATTCTGTTCAAGTCATTACCTTCATAGACTGATCCCATTTCCCAGTTTGACCCTCCTGGCTTCCTCTCAACCTACTCCTACATCAATTATTATCGTGCCTCACGGTAGTCGGTAGGCATACGTAATACATGTTCTAACAATCTCAGTCAACAAAAATTTACAACCACACCAATCGATTTGTCATACTTAGCTAGTACTTTTGACGACTGTGGACAGGTATTCGTAAAGGACGGATCTTTTACCTTTGCAGAGTATGTTTTCCTAAACCATGGGATTAAAATTACTTTATACTTTTCTTCCTACGAATTAATTCTTTCTCCATATACGATAAACCTATATGCAATCTTTATTTCACATGATACTACCATTGAAGTAACTGCGTCTATGAATTTGGTGTTTTTGTTGTGCTAATAAGGTATGGCAACTTGGACTGATACATACATGTTCCTGATCCTATGTTGTAAATGACTGACTGGAAGTACGCTTCACTGTTACAGGACAGTGATGAGCGGATTGTATAGTAAAGCAATAGTACCTTGACAAATAGAAGGACATCTAGCCTGTGGTTCGAGCTATGCAGGTCTACAAAACTTGAAAATGCTTTCATAATCTAAATAGCGATTTCATCAGTTATTACTCGCTAAAGATGATGAAACTTTAGAGATTGGCAACATGGTCAGCAACTTTATTCTGCATAGCCAGATCAAGCATTGATACAAAACAATCGTTAAGTGACGGCGTAATATCGCAGATCTAGAGTGAATGATTGATACATGTGTTGATAAGATTTCAGAATCGAAATAAGATTACACTACATAAGCGTCAAATAGCCCACTAGGAATCTTGTCGACAATCCTGAATCAACTGAGTGGGTTGGGACTGTGAGTACTGATCAAACATTTATTAAACATAAACTTGACCGAGTAATATGAAATTCTAGGAAGACTAGTAAGAAATTTCATTGTTTAAAGGGATACTGTGCGTACACTGTACGTATATTTATCAACCTGTGGTCACCGTGACGAGTGGAAGGAATGAAATCAGGAGACATATACGAAATTATACTTAAATCCAAAGTTTAAGAACCATGAAAATAACAAAACGTTAACAAAGCGTGTTTACCATGACGATGATGTTAACTAGAGCTTCAGAGATTCAAATTTGTCATGTTTGAAACTCCAACCATAGGTTGATTGTCAGAGATTGTAGAAACGATTCGGAAGTTGTTTCAGTACCTCGATGAAAACCAGATTCTTTCTGGTGAGCGGCGCAGCTTTAGAACAGGTTATTCACGTCTCACAAACATGTTAGTAGCCCATGAAAGCTGGTGCGTTTTTTAAGATCAGAAGTTGCTCATAGATGTAGCTTACATTGACTTCAGTAAAACTTTTGATAGTTTCCCACAACTAACCGTTATAAAAGTTAAGTAGTATTGGCATTGGAAGCGATTTATTAATGTGGACAAAAGACTTCACACATGGGCGTCAACAAGGCGTACGAGCGAACTCCAAGTTGTCCAGCTGGGAAACTGTGCATAGCGGAGTGTCTCAGGCTACAGTTTTGGGGTTAGTGTTCCTCCTGTATGTAAATGAACTTCTCAGTCTCCTATCACCATCGGTTTTGTTATCGGCCAACCATGTCAAGGTATGGAGATTGATAAAAAGTAAAAGTGATAGCTTAGAGCGTTAAAATGATCAAGACTTAAAAACTACTACTAACTGCTGTGCAATAGCCGTCAAAGGTTTTAAAGCCCTATGGTCAATACGTAGGGCCTTTAGCCCTAACACAGACAAGTGACAAGTATTACTAAAAGAGCGTGTAAGATTGAAAATCATCTGGCATAGCATAAAGATAACTACTCATAACTAACATTAGTTTAAAGTACAGTCAAGAGAAATAGTTAGCTCAACTGATAGATTGACTCAAAAACTCGTGTTAAACATGCTACTAGTGAAATAATGCTACGACTGAAAGCACATGCTTATTAGTTGCAAAACAGATTTCAAAATAAAAGATAGCTAAGTGCGCAAAACTAAGGCAATTAGGCTGAAAAACTGAAATCATAATTTAATGTAGATAGATATGAACCCGTGAAACCGTTTCTAGTTACTTGATTTTCCGAGAATTCTATATCGTACCGAAACAAAATATTGAATAAAGCCATTATTAACAATTATTATTTTTGCATAAACCAGTAGCGAAATTTAGCACCAAAAGATTTATGGAGAAAACGTGACTTACGATGGAGCAAGAACTGATCTCAAATTATCAAGATTTCCTTCAAAAAACATGAGAAATGGAAGGTTAGTACATATTGTGAGCACAAGTGACATCAAACCAGTTTCTTTCCATTGTCTGAATATCACTATAAAATACGTGGTTTAACCAGCTTACTCAAGTATAGGAGCACCCAGAAGAATGCAAACAATGAAGTAAGTGCAAAATGAGCAGGCAGCAAACTTCAGCTGTCTGGTGAGCGGCGACTTCGCCATGCCAGCACTTTACAGACCCACAAACGCGGCAACAACTCGAAGGCACTGTCTATTTTGAAGGTTATTGTACGCTTGAAGGTCAAACCATCGTAAAACGATTAGTGAGTAATCCGGATGACTTATTTTTTCTACAGAAGTGGTCATATCAAGAAGATTCTAAATTTATTAAGCTAACCAAGAAAATCTATATTTCAGTGATAACAAAGGGATAGACTACACAAATGAGCACAATAAGTAAAGAGTACAAAATGTGTGATGGAAACTATACTAGTTATAACAAAAAAATGAAACCTTTTATGTTTCCTAATAACAATAAGATCAATTATTCGAAAAATGTGAGTGCTGATTAAAACATAAAAATTATAAGAATATGTGGTATGAAGCGCTCAGATAATTGGACAGTGAAACATGTACTTGGGAAAAAAGGTAGGAGGGTAAAGAAAAATAAGTGAAGTCTTGTGGTTTTTATTGATGTTATTCCAGCATCTGGTTTTTTAATCACTGACCTAATTACATGACCAGATCAAGCTTATCGGTAAATTTGACTCCAATCCGAAAAACTTATTCCGTTGGGCAGCTTCTCTTCGACAAGCCAAAATCGGAGTTTCCCAACTACTTAGTCCTAATGTTCCGACAAATAACGACGATGATGCCGCTAACCTTTTAGCTGAACGATACTCTCGGACCGACCCATATCAAATACACTGATGAGAGCTTCATCTGCTACTGCACATGACTTTCCGATGTGGACCTGCGCGCTGACCTGATGTTCCGTAAACCGCAACACATAAGAAAAGACACTTCTCCTGATCCGGATATGGTTCATTGAGCTATACTAAGGGAAGCTGCTTCAATCTTAGCAACAACGCTTAACCTCCTGCTCTCACACTCGCTAAGTCGAGGCAAACTGTGGGAAATATGGAATCTGGTCCACTTCACACCAACTATTAAAGGAGGTTGACGCCGTGAATCTTCAAGCTTCTGACCAGTGGCCCTTATCTTTATACCTTCTAAAATTATGGAGTCCATGATATGCGATGATATACACGACTACTTATTATCCCTAAAGTTCTTCTCACCCCATAGTTTCAGATGGAACCACTCTTCTGTAGCCAACCTGCTGACTGCATTGGACAGATGGTCAACCATCATTGATCGCAAGGGGAAGGTCGAAGTCATTTACCCCGACTTCTCAGAAGCTTCTGATAAGGTCAACCATATATGTCTTATCAATAAGCTTAAACGATTGAAGATAGGGATGCTGTCATACTTCTTAATCCGTTATAGCGGTAAATAGGTCACAAAAGTAAACAGATCTATAAATCTTTAACATTTTATGCTGGCCCCATTAGTTTTAATGGACACACCTAGGCGAAGGCACTCTGTCACACATTCGCACCAAACCATGAGTAGGTACGCCATGTTACCCATCACTTGCAACTGTAAGCCAGCCAAGATAAAACGCTTCCCAATTTATGGATAGCCCTCCAAATATATCTTCTAAAGCCTTCGCTTCTGACTTCTGATTTAACCGAGTTGGTCTGCTTCGGTCATAAATATATTACGTATAAAAACGTTGTCAAACCTCAAGTTTCTGTGACATCTTAGAAATTTTCTGGACCATTAATCTGATTTAACCAATACTCAGCCACAGCCACAGAATTATATCATGTAGCGTAAGAAGACTGCGACAAACCCATATCAAGTTCCGTGAACTGAAGGACAATGTGAAGACAAATTGATCATCATGTCTATGGTCTCGCTCGTAGTTCCGCTACACTTGATATATCTGTTTTCGCTGACGAGGTATGTTGCATGAGATAAATGTCTCAGGCTGATCATTTCTTCCGAACTGTTTGGAAAATATTATAGGACAAATCTGCAGTCACGTTATGCTATCACATCCGTTTACTAGTTGAGGTAATTCTGAAAGAAGGATATATGTTAAAAAGACATGCTATCAATAATGACTTGTACAATATAAGGTCACAAATTGTGTCATCTCAGTTTGTAAGAAGAACGAAGGTGACCCAATTTTAAAGTGTTTTTCCTTCACACACGCTTGCATATACGGAAATAAACACAGGGACAAAGAAGTTGACGATTTCGGGCACACATTCATCAAATTGGGAGAATTTCGTTCAAGCTGCATCAGAAAATTTAAGGGAAATGATAATAAGGCCCAAAACGTTAAGTCCTTTTAGGGAAACTCTCAAAACCTTTATAGAAATTTTGGATTTTTCCCAAAGTTTCCACAGACTTTAGGGAGAACCATTAATTTTCGTATCACTTTGGTGGAAATACAAATATTTCCCAAAATACGGAGATTGGGGGCTATGTTGTCAAAATGAGGTCACAGTTGTATCCAAGTTTCTAAAAGTACATTTTGATTAGTTGATATTATACATCAAACGTGTCAACGGTATTTTACAATGAGCTTGGTCAAACAGAGAATTAAAAATATTCAAAGGAAACAGGAATATATTCACTGATGTGACTAGGGCATAATTTATGTTTTTTATGCTTCGCGTTCACGAATCGGTTGTAAGAGTTTAAATGGCTACTTGTTGACATATGATAATATTTTGTATGTATTGATTAAAAATCTAATTCGTGAAGTGTGCATTTGTTGGTAACCATCATAGATTTAATATGGCACAGCAATCGTATGATAATTAGAAGTATTTGAATTATAGTATAAACTAGTAATCCCAGGAATAACGCAATGTAATCAAGAAGTCATTGGTTTATTTAAACACCACAACCACCACAGCTCGAATTGGAGTGTAAGTGTCTGTAATCGATTGTTCGTCTTCTTCTTAAGTTCATCTTATATCGGTTCGAAAGTGTATTAGATGTAGACTCTTTATTATCTAGAATGCATTCACTAGCATTAGAATTAATAACCGAAATTGGAACAGACTAACCTGGGTCCTGGAATTGTATGCAATCAGCACTCCGGCTTTGTAGTGAAACCATTGATATTTAGAATTTGCATCATGGACTTTCCAACAATATCCTCCCCCACGAAATAATAATGGGTTCTTACTTCGCAATGTTTTAGCCAATATGACGTTCCCAATTTGCATTATCTTCTCAAATCTTACGCACCGACTACTGTATGTGAGTATTTGGGGATAAACACTGATATATTATTTGAGGTATTCCATCATGTGACTTTGACTTGAATAAAAATCATGATACATATTCTTTTTGTTATTCATATTAGAATACACAGATGGATATGCATTGATATATGTAATTAACACATGTGATTCAATTAGGCTTGATTTACCTGCGAAACAATTGAATAGAAAACATTCATTTGCCTCATATTCATTAGGAAAATCTTGGACTTGATTTGGATTCTCTATCTGTGCAAACTTCACTTCTGGACAAGCTGGTTCTCTGATTATTTCGGTAAATTTTGCTATCCCATCTGATTCATTATACCCCTGACTAGGGATTCTATTCAACATGCATTGTTCGTGAGAGTATCCAACATATGACACAATAACATCAGAAATATGACTAGAATTCAACTCATAAGAAACATATTTGTCACATTCAAGAGGAATATCATTAGAGATAAATTCATTGTGAGGACTTGTTGTATCCCGAATAGAACTATGAATGGTAACTTTTGAGGACTATTTATTGGTCAATATAATGTGTATATTTCCTATTGTAATTAACCTAATCATATTCGTTTCCTCTTATCATTAGCTTTATTTTGACCTTTGACTTATTATCATACGATCCTTGAGTTATCATCAGTTTATTGATTACTATTCACAGCCACATTCGGCTAAATACTGTACAAATGTTATTATCTATTTTATGGGTCGATATGGCTTGCTTGGATGGTATATAAACTCAGTATGTTTGAAATACAATGATTCATACCACTGAGGCTGTTATTGGTGTTTTGGGCTTAACTGGCTGGGCTAGGCAGATCGCAGGATCGGTTAACACTCTAGTCTGCTCGTGCGGGTTTCGTGTCACCGGTCCAATCGACAATTCGCTGCTCCCTGTTTGGCGGTCTTATCGCGTCATACATCAACCAGGCGTTCACTCGGCCACAAGTATAACAGGACCACTGACACTTGATATGATATCAGAATTCGATTCTTCTGAAATATTTTCTTCAAATTGATTAAGAGTTTCATTAGGTAATGGATCATCAAAGAATTCAACATCTACCATGACTGAATTTGGTTTTTGATCATGATTTGACTCATTTAACATTCTATTCTCAGAGTTGTAAGAAATTCCATCAGAAGTATGTGAATTATTACGACAAACCATATCTGCTTTAATATCATGAGAAATCCGATAAGTTTGTTGGTTAAAAATTTTTGTCTCACAATAATTCTGAGTTTCATTTAACTCTGGACTGCTATGTGACGTTATACCACTTCTAAATAAAGATAACTGATCATTAAAAGCATACATCTTAGCATTACTTTCAGCGAAATGAACCATGGTATTACAAACTGACTGAATGTGTCCAGTTATACCACATTTAAAGCATTTAAAATTACGAAATATACATGAATTACATGGGTGAAACTTGCCGCAGAACATGCATTTACTAAACTCGTGCTCATCATCATGGACTGTTTCACAACTCGATGAAGTATTATCTGAATAACTTTCATTACGCATCGAACTACGACGACTATTTGAATAAGTGGAATTCCTGATGTTCTGAAGAGTCATTTTATCGGATTTTCCTTTCTTACCGCATTCGGAATTTGTATACTTTACATGATCCAACAATAGTTGCTTGAGAGTCACATAGGGGAGTGAAATCGGTTTGTCTGGAAGTGCCAAAATCTTTATAAGGCTGTACGCTTCTTTCCCGATGAATGTAAGGAAATGGGCCACAATATTAAAATCCTCATCATCTTCCTTGCTCATAGCCCAGATTTCGAACTTTTCCATGTACTCCTCAAAAGCATTAAAACCTGAATTTATATCCAACCGTTCCATTACAGGCTCAATCGCGAAGCCAATATGATAATTAGAAGTATTTGAATTATAGTATAAACTAGTAATCCCAGGAATAACGCAATGTAATCAAGAAGTATTAGATAAGCCCGAACGAATGTATTGTATTTGGAATTCAAAATTACAACAGTCATCAATACTAAGAAGTCATTGATTTATTTAAACACCACAAATCGTCAGACAAATACATATACAATGAACTTAGTTCTCTATGCGTTTGGCAGCATGTTACGCTCAACAGGCAGTAGAGACCTGTTTGATAAGTGGGCTAATGAATACCATTGGCTTTATGACCTTATTTAACTTTAGGTCGGCAAACCTTTAAGTTCGTTTTCTGAAGCATTTAAGACGTACGTGCATAAGTTGCGGGTGATAACGAAGAGAACGTTGAATTATGGTCTACATCGACATTAGTACATTTACCCTGGCTACCATAATAACACACCTAACCTCAAAATTGAAGATGTGTCATGATGTGAAAACCTGATCCATTATGTCTTACGTGGAAGTCACATCCCTATCTATATTGACTCGTTCTATCGTAAGAATTAGCAATATGATGTCAAATACTTCTGAAAAATACATTTGGGCCGGGTAGGGAGTAATATGATTTATACAAGGTGCAATAAAGTTTACATAGAGTGACCACACCTGCACAGCTGAGCATCGCCAATTCAAATTATTGTTCTTATGTCCACCATTACCGATCTTCTCCAAGTGTTGCATGTTGAATATCAGTCTTCACATTCATTGAGTGTTCAGCTTCGAGAATCGTATGGTTTGGATCCAATGCCAATACAAGACCACATCGTCAGTCATCCGCAATTAATTTACATGACATAGACTTGTTCTTACAGACTTGCGGTAGGGAGAGTGACTATGCGGTCTTGCATTACTGTGCCTGTAAAACGCTTGGATGGAAAAGTGTTGCAACGACATAGTGTTGTTGTATACAAACACTAACGGATTTACATTCAGGCTGAAGACCACAATGTGAAATATCGAATATTTCTGGACGAGATCGTGCAGACCGATTAATTTCTTTACTCTCTTTTCTTATTCCTTTTAGCATTTTTTCATGTCTTCGCTTAAATCAAATAGATGATATTATAGCCACTCAGATGCACCAATTCTTGTCGGATTAGGAATTATTTTTGTGGTTTTATGTAACACGTGCCATAGATGATTACATTGCCCCAAATGCGCTGGTACGGCCAAGAGTGGAGAGAGTCTATTCTCTCTCTCGAAATGCTCTCACACGGCCACAAGCAGGGGACCACTGCCACGGAGGTCATACTCACTACCTTCTCGCGGAATTACTGGTGTGCTCCAGTATCCTGAAGGAACAAATGGCGTACGAATCAATCGTTGGTCACCGGCTACCATGGAACTGCATCTCCTCACGATGCTCCACTGCCATGTGGACTAGACCTTTAGGTCAAAGGCTCCAGGTGTGGCCCCCTAAGAAAATCACCTGCTTCAGTTTGGGAACCTGGGCAGTACCAAAGCCCTCACACAAATCAAATGAGATTTGTGTGGCGCATATATATCTGGCGCTACTTTGTACCAATATTTATGTGTTCAAATAAATAAATATTCTGGGAAGCGAAATTCGACTTACACGTCCTCGTCGTACCTCCTGGATAGTGGGACTGTTACAATGAACTAACATGAGCGGTAACCCAGGTGGTGGAGATCGGCCTAATCATCTACTCTACTTATATCCACAAGTGATTATGAAAGCTAAAAAGTGTTAGGGTGATCCTGAAAATTTCTTGCAATCGACATGAAAAGCTCAGGAAACATTAAGAAGCATTTTATCTAATCAGCGTTTGATCAGAAACATCACGAAAGTGAAAATTCGCATGTAGATTTTCTCATTGACTGATTACTACTATGTTTGTTAGCATTCCAGAATTTTCAGGAAAACCAAAAGACTTTTAAAATACCATAAAAACCCTACATTTTCTGTACATAAATGAACCTTTGTAGTGATGTGCTTCTCGTATATTTTGCACCTTTTCTCTCTTGTTCAAGTCGCTGTATAGTTCTAGCTTGAAGATTAAAAGATTAGCTTAGGATCCGAATATAGTGTTCAATTAGTAAGACTTATGTTAGGGATGTTAAATCCCCAGAACTTTCTTGATGAACGACCTATTTTTGTAATTTTGTTTTGAAAATTTGAATTTCTTTGTTTTCGCGACAAAAGCGCTCTTTCCCACTTGTAAAATATCTTAAACGCTATTGGTTCGTTGTATCTTTGAGTGTGCTATTTTGTAATGCTGCCCAAAGACAATTTATTGCTGTATATATACGTTTGATTTTTCCCCTTACGATTGCTGTACTTCTGGCTGCTTAGGGAATATATTTTTCCCACTTCCAACTTGGACTTCTTACTCTAGTTAGCTGGGTCTGGGACGCGTAAGATTAGCTAGCTTATCGGTCTCTGGTCACAAGTCTTTGTTCTGTTCGCTAACTAGTCAATACGAAGCACTTCAGATATAACGACTTATCATAAAGAATCATTGTACATATAGTATCATCATCAACAACAAAGAGAATAATAGAGATAACCATAGTATCAATTCAATAGATAACAAGATATATATATATTTACAAAGAAAAGTGGAAACATATTTTTTTGTGTGGATACCTTAATACTTCCCATATTGATTCATTATAAGGACAAACCTAGTTCGTTTATTGTAAACTCCCATAGCAACTATCAATTCTTTACATAGAATATGTATCCAATGTTATATAATAAAGAAAAGAATAATAAGGGACAAATAACAAATCATTACACACCATATTAAGTTTTAAAATAGATGTCACAATTTGGAGCAGTAGTTGATAGATTACTATAATTTTGTAATTGAGTAGTATTTGTTAATTCAATTCTATTATAATTATAAGAATTCCATAATGTAGTATTTGGATATATTTGTTGATATTTAGATTTACTACTTATATTAGTATTAGTAGTATTGGTAGTAGGATATAAACTATGTGCAGTATTATATATACTATGACTTAGATTTGATCCACCATAGTGATTATTATATGTATGAGCTTTTCCATAACTACGTGAATGCATAGAATCCATTGTTGGTATTTCAATAGCTCCAGGTATATTATCATCTAGATCATCTTTTATTTCAAAACCTATTTCAAGTGAATTTTCACTTTGAATTGATGAACTAACATTAGAAAGATGATCCCAACTTTCAGGCAACTGTAAAAAAAAAGATATTTGAAAAAAGAATAGATTAAGTATTAGTGTAACAGTCATTTTTTTTAAAATGTCCAATTTAAATATTTACTGAAACTATCCAAACTACTTGTAAGTAGGTAAGCAAAGATGGATTGTGGTTAGGAGTGGAATCCAGTTTGATGCGCGTTTCGTTCTACGCGGGACTGGTCAGATGGATGTACCTGCATCTCAGAGTTGATATTCACTTTGAGAATTGAACCCAGTACCTTACGCTTCAAACGTCATCGCGTTACCCACTCGGTCACTGAGTCTTGTAGGTAGTAATATAAGGTAGTGAAAACTATAGAAACTTACTGATAATACAAACAGTTCCAAGTATACAATAGCATTCGAAAATAAACCTACATACAAAATAGATAATTTTTGATGACAGGAGTGAATCAATTCATTTATTGTATAACGAGTGAATATGAGCAATGTGGTGGATTGATGGAATATATAAACTGTATTATCAAGATAAAATTAGATGTCACTGTTATCGAATTTGGATAGAACACAGAACCTGAAGAAATCTTTCTTGTCAGTTGGATAATTTTGAAAGTTTTAAATGTGAACTATTTGGTATATATATGGAGTAATTGTGGTGATTGTAGTATTTTTACCGTTGAACTCACAGACTGATCTTTGCTAGACCGTCACTAAAAACCTAGAAGCACTGGAGAGTCATATCGTCCAAACATGGAACTCCTCAGCAGTGTGTATCCACCATCCCTCACATGGCACTTTGACCCTTGATCTTCATTCTCGAGCGCGAACGCTCAAACTCCAGACTATTGAGCCGGGATCCAGCGACGGTAATATCTAAATTCAATCTATCCATGATACTATACAACCCTAAACGATCTGTAGTTGAACATTTGCACTCCAAACTGAAGGTTAGGGGTTAGAGCACTGCGTGCGAAGTAAAGTAACTTTGTAATGAACATCGTTTGTGAAATTCCTTCATTTACAAAAGTAAATATTATGACCTAGATATTGGTATTAGAAAACGAACCTGAATCCAGGTTAAAAATAACTTCAATAAAAACAATATCATAAACGAAAAGAAAGAAAAAACGACTTGACCTGAGTTGAATCAACAATGAATACGTCAGATTCATTTGAAGATGGTTTTAAAGAACTCTTTTTTATTACATCGTCTGTATGGATGAAACGAAAAGTATAAAAACACTAATTAGTTAATTGTTTTTTTTTAAAATTTGAAAAAAGAACATTATTAGTAGTAATAGTACTAATAGTCAGTCAGTCAGTCACAAAGTAGAACTTCGTACGTACATCAGTTCAAGTTGCCATATCACATAAGTACAGAGATGCAGTTGTTGATTCGAATCCTATAGTGGTAGGAGTAGTAAGAGTATAAGAATTAATGTGAAAGATTAGGGTTTGAATATATAGATTCAATAGTAGTAATAGTGTAAAGAGTAAAGATTAGGGTCAGATAATATGTAAATAATGCAATATATATTATTGGTATAAATGGATGGTAGTTAGCAGTGAAATCCAAGACGCTCATTTTGTCCTATTTGGGACTCATCAGATGGATATACCTACATCCCAAAGTGGATGTTTACTCTGAGACCCGAACCTCGGGATGCAGGTATATCCAGCTGATGAGTCCCAAAAATAGAACGAAATGTGCGTTATGGATACCATTGCTAGCCACCATCCATCTATGCTCATAATTCTTGTGATTTAATGCAATATCGAGGCAATCCCCACAGGATGTACATATACCAATAAGAGAATAACAAATTGTAGTCCTAAACATCAATCGAAGGATTCAAAAACACAGGTACCAAATGAAATAGAATATTCACTTAAAATAACAATAGAAACGTAAAACTGTAATATTCAATTTCAATCAACATATGTGTTATGAATACAATATTCATTAATGACTTTCCAAAAATAATTTAACGTCTGCACATTGTCAAGGCCAAAGGAGAAGAGGAAGACCAAAGAACACATTACGTCGAGAAATAGAGACAGACATGAGAAAAATGAACAAAAATTGGATAGAACTAGAAAGAAAGACCCAGGGCAGAGTGTGTTGAAGAATGCTGGAAGGTGGCCTATGCTCCATTAGGAGTAACAGGCGTAAGTAAGCAAGTAAATAACATCGTTAACATTATAATTCTAATATGTGTAGTATGAATAATTTCATTATGGATAAGATAGGAATTAAAAATGCTGATAATAGTAAATGTATTCACACACACACACTCCATTAGCTACAATTATCACATTTATGTTGCATAAACTTTCCGGAAAACAATATTAATGCATAAAAACTGACAGCTCAACAAAGATAATCCAAATCGGTGGACTGAATATGAAGAAGAAGAAGAAGAAAACCAAAGTCATTGTATGATTATAACTAATGAATAGTTTATACTACGAACTGGCTACTGGAGTCCATCCATATTAGGTATGAAGCAGATACTCACGAATGGATTTGGAAAATAGTTGTACATTATCACGAATCAATTGAAGTCAAGTATGTAAACCATTTGATCCTGAATATTAAGCACTTGCCATAAACCTGAAGATCGTAGGTTTGATCCCCATTGATGATTCAATGTACATTCAACAACATTCAAGAAAATTGTTGAACAACTGAGAAATAATTATAACAATCAATATAGCTCAGTAATAAAATTAAAATCCGATGGTACTTCAACTAAAGCCGTGCTTTAGATGTAAAGTCTAACACACAGATACTAACCAGCTAAATCCCTAACAAGGATAAAACTTGATCGCTAGCTTTCATTTCCATTTACTACGGGAGCGGACTCACAAAGCCCATATCATATAACTGTTCATGTTTTAAATAAAATCTAATCGTGGTTACATTTCTTATTCATAATCAATGTATTTTTGTAAGGCGTTCACTTTTTATGCTATAGGTAACTCGCCTAGTAAGAGCAAGTAAACGACTAGGCAAATATGCCGTAATGAAACGACATACAATGAACTATTTTCATTTTAACAAATATTCATCACAAATAACTATCTATCTAGACTCATCAATAAAAGTTTAAGACCCAAAACTACGGATTGAAGGACAGCCAGCAGTTCAAAAGAAGGTTACTTTAATAAATATCGAATTCAAAGGAGATATGACTACAGAAATCATGAATAGATGAACTACAAAATACCTGATGAAAAAATTTCTACTCAACTAAGCTTCATATTGTCTTCTTAAGCAGGTCTACTATTCACATATATATTGAGGCCATTTTGATGTTTACTTGTTCTTGGGGGGTAAGTTGCATTGGATGCACAAAACGAACACTTTCTAAACGTATTTCAAAACATTTCTCGGAATAGCTTTTAAAAGGGAAATGAACATTGGTGTGTGTATTTTATATGAATGAGTAAAAGTAACTTTCTATAGCCGATCGATTTCGTTCTGCTCTTTGATATCCCCTAATTTTCTGGTATCGAGTAATTATTAAATCAATTGAAGTGAGCAAATGATATAATCAAATCAGACATCTAATTGTTTATCCACAACTACTCATAAATACATATGTATTTTACGTATCCAACGTCCCCAAATGCCCTGGTACGGCCGAGAGTGGAGAGAGTCCTTTCTCCCTCTCAAAATGCTCTCACATGGCCAAGCGTATATAGCCTCTCCAGGGAAGTCCTACTCATTGCCTCCTCGTGGCGGGGGGGGTTGCTTACAAAATTGAGAGGACGAAAAGCGAACGTCCGTCGCCTTAACCGGGTCGGTGGATACAAAGAATCCACCTAGAGGAGTTGGAAAACCCTGATTCCAAACCAATGGTTCATATGGGCTCCAGTATCCTAAAGAAACAAATGGCGTATGAACTAATTGTTGGTCACCGACTACCATGGGACTGCATCTCCTCACGATGCTCCACTGCCTTGTGGACTAGACCTTCAGGTCAAAGGCTCCGAGTGTGGCCCCCTAAGATAACTACCCGCTTCAGTTTGGGCACCTAGGCAGTGTTCCAGCCCTCATACAAATCGAGTGAGCTTTGTGTGGCGCATATGTATCTGGTTCCTCTTTGTACCAATATCTATGTATTTAAATAAATAAATAATAAATAAAATATTATCTCATCAAATCATCCAAATCTAACAAAGGGCCTAATTGTTTTCAATGTAATATTAAACTAACCTGATATAAGAATACCATTTATAGGAACAGTTACAAATGGTATACTGTCTAGATCATTTCCATCAACATCACCACAACCATCGTCATCATTAGTATTATTACTCTCATCGTTATTATCATTATTATTCAATAATGTATTATCTTGTTGTTCATCCAATAGTTTCAAATGAGATTGTATTGATTCTGAATCCGTTAAGCTACCATCATTCTTAATGTGTCCAATAACACTAGGAATTGAAGGAATATTATTGACATCAAGTATACTAGGATTAATATGATCGTCTTCACCAGTAGCTACTACTTCAGCGGTATGAGTAGTAGTTAGATTATTATCATTATTATCAACATCAACATTATATCCGTTGTCATTTTGTATAGTTTTATAATATTCATTATTATTAAATAGAAATTCTGATTCTTCAGTTGAATTTAAATGAGAATTCAATGCAGTACGAAGAATTTGTAAATCTTCCTTCATTTGAATAAAAAATAGTAAGAAATGAAGATAGAAAACCATTGACATATAATCCATATATTTAATGCTCGGAGCTATATACTTTGTAACTCCGCCTGTAGCTTCTCCAGAGGCTACTGACGGTCCCAAGCCCGGGTAAAGGAGGAGGGTTGGGCATGGGGTTAGCTACCACATCCCGTAGAAAACCAGCTCGATAAAAAAAACACTAACCAGAAATATACTTTGTATGCTGCATTTAAGACTATAACATTAAAGTAGGATGGAAGTAAGCTAGAGGCAGTCAAACTAAAACATGATACAAGTTCATAAAGTCATCGGATATTGGACTAAGACATATTGCTAAATGTAGACTACTTGATTGGAGTTCGCGTGATTGTCGTAACCAATAGTGAGAGACTTAAAATGATATGGTTCAAAATCATTAGCAATGGCACAGGTGTATTCATTCTTTGTGTTAGCGGGAAATAAACCGGATTAAGGCATGTTATGTAGATAATCATGATGGCGCAAGCTGATTAGCTAATTCTAAACCAATCAGCTCTGGCAAATTATTGGAGAAAACATATAGAAGCATTTCATGCATTAACTATAAATATATGTACGTTTTTCTAACCATGGATTGCTGTTCACCAATCCTTGTTATTTTGAATACAATTTCATTCCTGTTCAACGTGTTCTGACTTTTTGGGGTCTTGTAGAGTGTCATTGGATAAGAATACTAAGCAATAGGAGTAGCTGGGTCGTTTATTAGCAATACAATTATAACATATTGTCTTTCTGAAAATTCACCTGAACTCCTGAATTCCTCATAACTTGTTTTTATGTTTTTATTTCACTAATTTAAAGTTTCTTGAATCGTATCTTTGATGTTTTATCTTTTTGATCAAGATATATACTGTTACAAACTCTATTATTCTGGAATTTGGCTTGACAATTTTAATTCTCTATGATAACAGGGTATGACAACTTGAACTGATGTACATACCGTTGGTGGACACGGAGAGTTCACCTAGGGGAGTTGGAAAACCCTGATTCCAAACCGATGGTGCAAATGGGCTCCAGTATCCTAAAGAAACAAATGGCGTACGAATCAATCATTGATCACCGGCTAGCATGGAACTGCATCTCCTCACGATGCTCCACTGCCTTGTGGACTAGACCTTCAGGTCAAAGGCTCCGAGTGTGGTCCCCTAAGAAAACCACCTGCTTCAGTCTGGGCACCTGGGCAGTATCACAGCCCTCACGCAAATCGAATGAGATTTGTGGGGCGTATATGTAACTGGTGCTTCCTCGTACCAATATTTATGTGTTTAAATAAATAAATAAACATACCGTACTAGGTTCTATGTTGTGACTGACTGAATAATAGCAAGATACATCATTCAAATAAACCACAGAATTAACATTAATGAAGCTTTTAAAATGTTATATAGAAATTGTGAAGGACCAATAGTTTTTAGTAGAGAAATGGTTCCTGTTCAAAATATGGTTCACCAATTTTCGGGGGCTAAGATCTGTGACTCCAATGAGATTGTATGAATGACTGCTGTTAAAATATACATCCTGTCTATCCTCGTACGTAATACATGACGTTGATGAATAACTGAGTTAAATAAGTCAAATACGAGAATGGATTTCGAATACATATATTTTGTACATTCATTGATCTGGACAGGAAATTAGAAGGATGAAGCGATTAGAAAAGAAAGAAGCAGAAATGATATGTATTGGATATGGCTGAAAAGTCAAATCTCGAGAGAACGAGGCGAAAATGATATGCATTGGAGACGATGGGTAAGTCACTAACTTCTAGTCTGAACCATGTTGGTAGATGCACACTACTTGGTTGAGGTCTGCGTGATTATCGTAACCAATGGTTGGAGACTCTGTATGACATGACTCATAATCGATCACAATGGCGTATGGGTGTATACAGTCTTTATCTTCCCTTAAACCTTGAGAATAAAATTGTTTCATAACTTTTTTCCTTCCTACATTATATACTTATATCCAACTTATCTTTCATATACTACTACCACTAAATTAACTACTTCTATGAATCCGGTGTTCATCTTGTTGTGCTAACGAGGTATGGCAACTTGAACCGATGCATAAATGTGCCTGGTCCTACATTGTAGCTGACTGGCGTCAACCCGCCTTAATCAAGAGTTTATCAATATTTCTAGTCAGATAAAAATAAATGACAGATATGTGGTGAATAGGATAAGAAGTGTACACACAAATATGCTCGTATAAAACACAGTCAGGATTGATAAGTGAATAATTAACGAGTTCAAAACATGACTCAAGATGGATAGGCAAATTGGCTTGTCCAGAAGTTAGAATAAGGGTATATGGGCTTAACATAGCAACTAATACTAAAAGTTTCATCTATACACAAATTTAAACTCATCCTTTATTTGCGCACACACAAAAAAAGAAAACAGCTTATCATAAGCTTGAATTAATTGCTCTGATGTAATCCTTCAAACTATTTTACAACCTAGAGTGATGTATTACTTTCCTATTGTTTTCATATTCAGTTAATTTTCTCCTTTTTTTCTCTTTTCTTCTTCTTTATTTACAATTATCACCTTGTTTGTTTGTTTTAGAAATGTTCATAGAAGATTGAATGGCTTTACAATTAGATTGATTGAAATATAAATGACATCATAGGTGGATAATATGTTTCTGAAACCATAACTTTATCTGCAAAGATAGATAGTGGTTAGCAGTGAAATCCAGTTTGACGCGCGTTTCGTCCTATTCAGGACTCGTCAGTTGGACGTACCTGCATCTCAGAGTTGATGTTCACTCTGGGACTCGAACCCAGTACCGTTCGCTTCAAATGCCATCGCGTTATGTACTTAGTTTATTATTATTATTATTTAAACACATATATATTGGTACAAAAGGGCACCAGATACATATGCGCCACACAAAATAATGAAAGTAGGAAGAGAAAGGATGAAAAGATAACGCGCACTAAAATGTACAACCAGGAGACTCTTTCAGTTAAGAAAGTTAGAACCACTCTTTATTTAGAAAGTAAAAGAAGGTTGCAGCAGGAACGCCATTGGCTTCTATTCTGAGCCATATCCGATAACGTCTCTAGCCACTGTGTCGCACCATCTCTCGGACCCCAGCCAGGGAGTCGTGAAGGACCAACAGAAGCTAGCCCTTTGCAGCTTTCTTTCATGCCACGACACCATGTCATACACTGACCTCCTCTCCGCTTTTTCCAACCAGTCCCAGAGTCGGCAAATAATGCACGACGTGGAAGTCTCTGGGACGACATTCGTAAAACATGTCCAAGCCACCGAAATCGGTGTTTCAAGATGGTGACACTGTTATGACTCGTAAGTTGAACGCTTTATTCGGATCCTAGCTATTCGGATAACCCCAGGCTAGCACTACTCAGCGACTTGGAAGACCAGAGAGAAGACACGAGTATCAGAGAAGCACTTTACTACAAGGTTCAATTATGTACAGAAAAACAGGGGTTTTATAGTAGCTAAAAGACCTTGAGATACCATAGTAACAGTATGTTAATAGCCAATCAGGATCTTGTTATTTTAGTAGCATTTTAGTAGCATAGCTTCTAACTAATCGCTGATTGGTTGGTCTCTTTATGAGCCTCTCTGGAGGCTCTGATAGAGTTTATTGTAAGCCGATCTAACACCTCCCTTTTTTTTGAAGATTCGAAAATTAGATTCTGATTTTTGAAAAAATTATCTGTAAGTTGAAATTCTCCAACATTTCCTCCCCCACGAAATAATGTTGGATCTTCATATCTCCAATTTACAATTAATATGACTTTATTTAGAACACATTTCTCGTATTGAATGCAGAATCCACTAGAGGATATTAGATAACTAGGAGAATCGGCATCTAATAAATTCGCATTAGATTTTTGATCACCATCTGATTCGACCGACTTAGTTTTCTCATCTTTATACGAAAATTTATCAGAATTATGGGCATCATTACGCGAACCCATATTATAGGCTTCTGTCTCCCCATGATTTCGAATCACATTTGGCGCAATTTGGTTAACTGTACTGTTCCAGTTATTTTCTGGACATGCGATCTTCCAGTTTTCTTGGCCAACATCACGCAAACTGTAGTTCTGTTCTGACTTAAGTTTGTCTTCAGATATGGGCGGACTTAATGGTGTTTCATTTGATTCTGGACTCCTGGGGTTGTCTGCGGAACCTTCTTTTTCTTGCTCATCTGATACTGTCACAGTTTCATGTGCATTAGGCAAGGTATTGTCTTTCTCTGAACCGGCCAACTTACCAATTTTGCATTTTCCGTCAGATATAAAGGGAATTGAACCCTCAACTTGGCGTTCTTCTGAGACGGCCATTTCCGCACCATTATCTGCATTATAAATAATTTCTTTATTTCCTGAGACGTTTCGTTTAGTGAAAAATTTGTCCAAAAATGTTTCAAATAGTTTCTGCTGGAAGCTTAACATCTGCTGATTCTGGTGATCTAATATTATCTGCAACTGTTCCAGAGAAATCGTCTTTTTTTACTGCTAATAATAATAATAACTCCAAAAAAACCGCCGGCAATTATTACAGCTTATTTAATTCCAAAATACGTCACCGACTGCTGTATTTTTTTTGCCAAAATCACGTCCCAATTCTTGTACTTTTTTTCTTTACCGAAATCCCCGTCGCCAATTGTTATGACTCGTAAGTTGAACGCTTTATTCGGATCCTAGCTATTCGGATAACCCCAGGCTAGCACTACTCAGCGACTTGGAAGACCAGAGAGAAGACACGAGTATCAGAGAAGCACTTTACTACAAGGTTCAATTATGTACAGAAAAACAGGGGTTTTATAGTAGCTAAAAGACCTTGAGATCCCATAGTAACAGTATGTAAACAGCCAATCAGGATCTTGTTATTTTAGTAGCATAGCTTCTAACTAATCGCTGATTGGTTGGTCTCTTTATGAGCCTCTCTGGAGGCTCTGATAGAGTTTAT